AAAAAAAAAAAAAAAAAATCCCACTTTCATATCCTTTAAAGAAATACAAATGAGACTCAAACCCGCCAAAACTTCCTATCTTCTGGCCGGTAAGGTGAGGAATTATCCCGAAGCTCGATCTGATTAAGCTTATCTACAATCTCCTCCGTGCGGGCCAAGAACTGCACAACCGGGCTGGCACGGAACTCATCCCACCACTCCTGGTTCTCCTTAATCTCCTCCTGGGTCGGGTTCTCCCTCGTCTCCAAAATTGGGTCTTCCTGCAGAATCTTCTCAACCTCGGGGGTGTGCCTGTAATCAGGCAAATTCTCGCACTCCCAGTAGAACTGCTCCAGCATATCGATATATTTCGCAGGGTTTTTCTCCTCCTCTGGTTCGGTTTTTTTCTCCTTTTTGGAGAAGGAGCTGGATATGGAAGCAAAGTTCGTTGCTTTTGAATAGGGTTTGAAGAGTAAGGACACGAGGTTGATTGGTTGAAATGGTAGCTTTAGTGGGTTTTTGAACCAGTTTTCGCCAAATGGATTAAAATTTATGGACGCCATTAGAGGAGCTTCGCCTTTTGAGGACGAAGGAATGAAGAGCTGCGAACAAGGACGAGGAGAGGAAGAGGAAGAAAGGGCGTACTTTCTCTGGTTACTGCACTGTCTTCCGACTGGATAAACCCTCGCGACCTGAAAGGGATCACTGATAAGGGGCCTGGGCCGGAAAGATTGATTGATAGCTCAATAAATGGGCTAAAAACCCCAAGTGTCTTCTTAGAGGCCCAACTTTTTCTAGGAATCATGGGCCTCCAGTTTGCACTCGGTATCACTTCTTTAGTAGCTTGAGTCCACAATCAGCAATTAATTATCTATATCTATATATATATAAAAAGAATTACCATTTACCAAAAATAGTAACCATAATTTTAGGACAATATTAATTGCTTACTATTTTTATTTATTTTTTTAATAAAAATAAAACTGAAACAACATTTGACTTATGTAGCCTACATATTTGGAATGTAGTTCAAATACAAACTAAAATCC